CATTTTTATGCCGAACCCTCTCATGAAAAGGAGATTTTGATTTCAGTAACACTACTGTACCTGATTTAAAAAAATAATCTGTCAGATGCTAGGTTCAGACACTATACACAAAATTCAAATCAAACCTTTATACAATTTGTTGGCTGGATGCACATTAACTGCAGCAAAACTCACTCTGCTTTCACACATGACCCTTGTTGCCAGCATTTTACCGAAAAAAAAAACCTTCCTACAAACCAATTTAGGACTCACAACTAAATTAACCCTCAATTTGAACCATAAGGCAGCAAAATCATGTCAGAAAAGCTGTGCTATAATGCACAACAAGAAATAAAACTGGAATAATATTGGAAGAAGGAACACAGTTGACTATACATCTTCATTCTGCCCCTGCTACTGCATCTATTGATTTCTGTGTTGAGAAGAATCGTTGCCTGGCTTATCCAGACCTGAAATCAGCAGCTCATGAAGGAGAATAAACAGTGATAATCCACATTTAAGCAGCTTAATGTGAGGTGCTATACTCCTGGTGATTAATATGTCTAGAAGGGCTCACCTCTGCATATTGGGTCCATTCATCAAACCATAAAATTAACAGTATATGGGAAGTATTTTTGCACATTTGTCTGAAAAGCAATTTAAATGGGTGTAGCCAAAACAGCAACATTTACAGTAAGTCCCAGGGCTGTATCTCTGAAAGTTGATTTATTGAAAATGCTTCGTTTTGCGTGTTTTAAAGTCCTCTCACTGGTCACTCAGTGACCATAAAGGCCTAGGTCTTCAGAAGAGTCTCTAATCTAATATTGCAACACTGCATTTACATTAGAGCAAACAGTGATTACACATTCAGCAGTTTCAGCCTTTATTTAAGTTGCATATTAGCAGAAAATTAACTTTTAACAAATACTGTGACATCCAGAATTTTTTATGGTGTCTTTGAACTGTATGTATTTTATTTATTTAAAATGTCCTCATGCATTTTAGCAGGTCATAAATCTTTCAACATCCTGTTTTGACTGAAATGTTTTATCAGTTATAGAAAAAAATGATGATCTGTGTGTCTCTGCACGGTGGCCTGCAACTTTTCAGACACTCACATTCTTGACTTTGTCCAGTCTTATTGCTGTTTCCAAAATGATGCTCCTATTTTCTTTGTCTAGGTTGTACATACACATAGCAAGCAGCAGTAGTGATAGTAGTAGTGATGTCATGCATTCAAGGTTCTAGCTACAATTGAGGACAGTGAGTATTTTTAGCAAGCAATTTTGCTGTTTTAGCAACCTTGAGAGCAGTTTATAGTCTTCTCTACAGAAAGGTGCAAATCAGGGCTATTTTATGGGTGGATTACACAGTTTTTAGAATCAAATGCTGATTTGAAAAACAAAAAATTGCAACAAAAAAAAAACCCCTTACTAAAATAAGGACAAACAAAGGCTACATTTCTTATTTGACCATTAAAGGTTATACAGTGTAATTCCAGGTCAGAAACTGGTTAGCAAAACTGGTCAGAATGAAATCAGACAATACGGACAAAAGTCACCACTAGCCTTATATTGCCCGTTATGCTCATGTTTCCGAGAGGTCTATTTTAGCTGACACTAAATAAGAAGACATGTTATTGATACTGTGCCCTTTGCAATACCACATAAACATAACTCTCTTAAATGGATAGAAACATCTGAAGTCTGCAGCTGTGAAACAAAACCAGCACAATTGATCCAATGTAAAGCCTGAGAATGAGTTCGGACAGTGATGCAGTACCTCTGTGGGTTGGGCTCATTGTGCTTGTCTCTCTCGTGTTTAATCATTCTGTAGCGGCCGATGCGAACATCTGGCCTGGACACCTTCATCCCGTTCAGAGTGATCCTGCAACAGGCACAGATACAGTATCTGTCACAAACAAAATAGGTGGACAATAAGAGAAAAAATGACAAGTTGAGAAGGAAAACAAAAAGAACACCCTAAGGTTTCATGGAGAAATACAGCAGAAATGTTCAACGTCCTTAAATCTGTCAGAGAATTTAAAATTATGACAAGTTTTCACAGCCAAAGGTGATGAAGTTGCAATAGATATTTTCATTATATATTAACCTGATTTTTAAAATAATAATAATAATCTAACAATTGTTTGGTCTATAAAATAATACTAAAAACCACAAAACCCAGAAATTGGCAGCATGGTAGTGATAATCACACATAAGGTTGATGGGACTCAAAAGTAAACCAGCACAACTGTCAGGACAGACACCCTCTTGATTTGATTCACTCCAATCAAGCCTTCAGTGAAGTTTGGAGTGTATGTTACAATGAGATAAGTCCAAAACATGCTTTAGTTGCTAAGGCAGAAGAACACTTAGAGTTAGTGAAACTTTAATCCTCTACCTATTAACACCACAATATGCTGACTTCTCCGGCTAGCTTAGTGTCCGTGCACACGCTGCAGTCCCTCACACAGGGCTCTTGAGGCTGCGTTTGCTGTAAAGCCTGCGGATCATAATTGCCCTAAAGCCAGAACATTGCACCGAGTGTCACAAACAAGCAAAAGAACAAACAACCTGAGATCCCCAAGCTCTTGCTTAAAACCCTAAAAACTAAAGACAGCCAATTTTATAACACTGAGAAACAAATTGTTCAACTTTGGGAGTTGTGAACATTTCGTACACCGGTGTGGAATAAAGACAAGGACTTACAGTGTGTTTCATTTAAAACAGAGCTTGAGATCAGAACGTTGAGACCAGTAATGTTGCATTACCGCTAAGATGCAATATAACAGCAAATCAGCAGGGAGATTTATATCTAATGCAACAACAAATGGTGTGTGTACAACACAAACAACAGATCTGTTCCCTCATAAAAGCCAACTCAGACTTAGAGGCATTGATATTCATACCTACCTATGTGCGTAGTGAATAAGCAATTCTTATTTGTCACAACACTGATTTGTGCCGACTCTGTCTTAAAAAGCATTCATGCCTAATATTTCTCCTCAACAGCATCCATTCTCTTCCAGTTCCACCTCTTTCTTTTTCCTTCTCTTTTTTCACAACTTCATGTCCCCTTCTGCCTACCTGCCCACTTATTGTCTATTACTGTAACTGCCCTCTCTGTAATTTCCTCTCTTTTTTTCTAATCTTTCCCACTTCTGTCTCTTCTCTGTACTAATTATGGCCGATACCAAATCTCTGTAAAGTGTATCGATGGTTAAAGGCAATACAATAGTCTTTGCAACAGTTTTTTTTTCTTGTCATAGTGAAAAAGCCTCTCCAACTGTATCTAAAAAAAGTGAAGCTATTTTAGGGATAAGACAGGGTGACTTCATTCACAGAAAAGAAACATCATTACTGAACAGTTAAAGGTAGGGTTGGCGATCCAGCAAGAGAAAGCTTGATTTTGAAAGCAGACAGCTGAAGAAATCTCACCCTTTCTGCAGTGTTCATGTTACCAAGAGTAACATGAACACTGCATGTGGCCTTTGATGCCCAGCTAACTGCATTACGATCCTATCTATAGACTTAAAGCTGACTACTGCTGGTATTTCCCCACCCCTGGCTGCATGTAAAAAAGAGTCTATTCCATGTGGCGTCTTCTCGCTCTCACACTGCATGCATGTAGCAACTTTTAGACAAATCAAATCAAATCAAATCAAATTTTATTTGTATAGCGCCAAATCACAACAAAAGTCATCTCAGGACACTTTACAAAGTAAGGTCTAGACCTTACTGTTATCAATATTATTACATAGGGAAAACCCAACAAATCCCCCTTGAGCAAGCACTTGGCGACAGTGGGGAGGAAAAACTCCCTTTAACGGAAGAAACCTCCGACAGACCCTGGCTCTTGGTGGGC